GGAGAGGGAGGGAGAGAGAGAGAGAGAGAGAGAGAGAGAGAGAGAGAGAGAGAGAGAGAGAGCCTGGCACCAAGGAAGCAGGTGTGGGGTAGGGAGTTGGGATGGTGACCCTCTGCTTCTCAAGGGAGCTTACAGGGTTGTTGTGAGGGTTTAAAATGATACCTATAAAGTACCTGGCACATAGAATGTGTAAACATAACTACGGTTATTACAACACAGTCGTTTGGGAAATTATGAGACGAGCCCATCTGGAAACACTGGAACTGGACTGGTGGGGAGGGAGACCGAGGGCAAGGAGGCCTTTCTGGGACCTGCTTCGACTGACCAGGCCTGCAGGGTGTGCAGGGATCAGACTGAGCCCTGATAGGACAGGCCGGGCAGTCTGCCTCCGGGCTGTGCGTCTTGGCACCAGCTGCTGCTGCGGTTCTACGCCCACCTCGCGACCCTCTAGCTCTCGCCAGTGAGTTAGCGACTCCTGAGAACTGAGGGCCCTCCGAGATCCTAGCGCAGGCCCCCAGCCCGCTCACCAGACAGCAACGGCTCAGAGGGGCCATGACGGGCGCAGTTGCTTGGAGGGCTTGCAGCCCCCTCGGCAGGAATTCGGGTCCTCAGACCTCCTGTCCAGCATCCTTTCTAAAAGTGTTCTCACCGCGTTTCTCTGGTCACCGGGGATTGGAGCTATTGAAGAGCTTCACTGCACACGGGGGCAGTGGGGGGCGCGGATGACACGGGTGTGGGAAATGCGCTATCATCTGCAGAATCCACCGGGAGAAGCCAGGGGCCTGCCCTCAGCCTACGGCAAGCACGGAGGCCGGGTCAGCGTCCATCACCTCAGGGCTGTCAGCAGGGTGCTCTGACCGTACTTCAGGTTGTCTGCGCACCAGGGAATGTCCTGGTTCAACAGCCCCAGTGGATGGCCCGGTACTGAATGCCAAGTGCGGAATGGCTGCCACTGTTCTCAAAGCACCAGGTGCCAAAGATCAGGGATAAACAAGGACCTCACCTTATCAAACACAAAACCTAGTGCAGTGGAACATGTTTCCAGATTAGAAACTAAACATGTATGGGCAGACCAAAACACTGGTTTGGCCACACACCATAACAGTGATGTCATGAAGGGATGCGCATGTTAACGGAGCACAATTACTGCCAGAGTGCACGCTCGGACTTTCAAAAGCAAATGTGTTTGCCTCATGTGCAGCCAGCACCAAATGTGATGTTTAAAAGGGCTGTGGGAGGGGCTTCCCTGGTGGCGCTAGTGGTTGGGAATCCGCCTGCCAATGCAGGGGACACGGGTTCGAGCCCTGGTCCGGGAAGATCCCACATGCCGCGGAGCAACTAAGCCCGCGCCCCACAACTACTGAGCCTGTGCTCTAGAGCCCGCGAGCCACAACTCCTGAAGCCCGTGCGCCTGGAGCCCGTGCTCCGCAACAAGAGAAGCCACCGCAATGAGAAGCCCGCGCACCACAACAAAGAGTAGCCCCCGCTCGCTGCAACTAGAGAAAGCCCGCACGCAGCAACGAAGACCCAACGCAGCCAAAAATAATAAATAAATAAATTTATATTAAAAAAAAGGGCTGTGGGAGAGGGAATGGGGAGTGACTGCTTGAAGGGTACGGGGTTTCTTTTTAGGATAATGAAAACATTCTGGAACTAGAGAGCGGTGATGGCTGTACATTGTAAATGTACTAAATGCCACTTACGTGAATTTTACCACAGCAGAAAGAAAGATACTTTAATCACTGGCCTCAGGTCACAGCCGCCACAGGGAAGAGTTAACAAGCACTGAAACGGGTGCAGGAAGAAGACCAGAGTTCAAAATTCCCATCTTAATGTCCCACGGCGGAAGTGACTGCAGAGGGGCATCAGAGGATTTGATTACTTATCAGAGGATCTGATTACTTATCGAACATACCGGTTGCCTGTGTTCATAGCTTGGTTAACAACTGGTGTCACCTTTATACCACCACCAGTACATTTTTTATTATTAAAATAAGAAGAAAACTTGCTTTACCTGCAAAGTTTATTGCATAGAACACACACATTTATATGAAGGCGTAACAGTGTTTCGACATGTGAAATCTGTACAGAAAAATCTCAGAATCACATCTGTTAAGATGACTGTCTCTGCCTTTTGTATAAAAGAGCAAGTGTATAAACAGTTTTTAAACCTAAGGCACCAAGCTCTATTCTACAACAGAGATACAGTACTCTGAATAGCAAAGAACTAGGGGATCAAAGAATAACTACTTTCTTTTACTAATCGAAGACTGGTGGCTACAAAGAACACAGGCCTGCTTCAAACTATTTGTGATTCACCAGAAAACTCATTAGCATTAGGACCACTAATTTGAATTCAAGTTTTAGTCAATGGTTTAAGCAGGATTCAATGGATTTCAGGAAACATATATTCTGTGTACACGTGTGTGCGTGTACACATGTGTGCGTGTTCACCGTGTATGTCTCTGTGCCTATCAAGGGGACCGAAGAATAACACTGCTCCTGTACTCACTCGCAGCCAGCCGCTAGAGAAAGGCAAGCAAATTTTGATTCCACATCTCAAGCCTGAGTGTATACTGAAGGGCAGGCCTGGAGAGCACAAGCAGAAAAAGATTATACACAGTAAACATTTAGAGGAGTTAAACATACCCCATCAGACAACAGCCAAATACTGCCTTATGTACACAACAAACATAATAACATGTTTTTATAGATAAACCGCAGTATGTACTTCAAAATGAAACACTGACAAGATGCTAAAGATCACACCTTCTAGGGCTCCCAGTATTTGGGGGTATCAGTGCCTGTGTATGGGGCTGGCAGACTATGGCAGAGTTAGCAATATACATACATAGCGGTAAAATGTGATTTAGTATTTTGCAACCTTCTGTATTTGTACGTTAAGAACAATCCAAACAAAGCTCTTGTGAGGAACCTCGAGGCCCTCAAATAAGCCGTCATGTTCTCTACAAGATCAAATGTGAGTTTTTATTGGTAAATTAATTGTTAAATGGAGTAAACGTGATTTTAAGATTTCAAATATATACTGAGAAAAAACTATTCCTCTGGTAGAGATTCTCTTAGAAACTCAAGAGTTAGCATTTTATAAAGACACCCTTGATACATACTCAAACGTGTTGGCAGGAAAACACAAGAACGAGAGACATGAAGATTTTTACAGGAAAACAAAACGACTCTTTACTCAGAACCCTTGCTTGTGGGCAACAGTCAAGATGATATGAGCATCTTCTGAGATATGTTAAGATGACGTTTTGATGTTTCCCGTTTTTTTTTTTTTTTTTGAGAGTCATTTTCTTTGCCAGGTTCAAGTAGGAGGTGGAGAAATTTTGAGAGGTGTGCCTGGAGGTCAAAATCCAGAGTGGAGAATGGCTTCTCTTCCAGGCTGGATGAGGTTTACATATCTGACCAGAGGGAAAAAGAAAAGAAAGAAGGTTAGTAGAGAAAATGCTGGTTCCACACCAAGTGGGCCCCGGCTCCGCTCTGAGGTGCGCCTGGGACCCTCAAGTAGCGCCCCTGGAGTTGCTGACACGCTGGTGCTCTTATAAACGTTCCCCAACCCCCAAATGGGCCCAAGCTCCTCTCAATTTCAAAGAGAGCTTCTCAAGGAAAGAAAAACAGAGGCCTTTTGGTTTTGGAAACACAAGTTGAGAGACTAATTCCAAAAAACTCACTAACCCTCTGCCCTGAATGATGATCTGTGTGCTGTAGAGCAGCCAGTGGATCAGGAGCGCAGAGGAACCTGAGGGGTCTGGGGTTTGAAATGAACCCCACTTTGTATATCTGGCAGGAAATGCAGGCCATAAAAATTAGAATCAAGTCATTTACCCTCTCAAAACTAACTTAACGGAGGGCTCTTCTACATCAACCTAGTTTTAGACCAACCAGTGTCTTCTCCCTCACCAAGACAACCCTGGAACAGCTGGAAACACAGGAGGGTTCAAGGTCAACTACCTTTCAAATGAAGTGAAGATGGGATGAGGCCTTACCCAATAGAGCAGAAACAGATTTGCTTGTTTTCTTGTTGTCTACAGGTGGCTGGTGACTTAGGCAGGATGTCATGGGACCTTTCAGATGGTGTTTTCGGCTATCAGGAGGGATACTGGACTTAGGTGGTTCTATCTCGCTTGTGATGTCAATAATCTTGTCACAGACCCAATCCTGTGCCTCTGAATGTAAGCTCTTGGAAGGTCCCACGGTGTTGCTGGTTTCTGCCTTTCCGGTTTTGGCTGCTCGGTTGGCTGTTCTTTTGGTGGAGGATCTGGAAAGAGGTATTTTGGTTATAATCCAGATTATCCCCAAACCAAGGCTTTGCCTGAAGGAAGTTTTATTATTTAATTCTAAGAAATGCCTTGGACATAAACTTTCAGAATCACAGAATGGGAAGGCTGGATGGAAGGGACCCTGGAGATCACAGAACACACTGGTTTCCAAATTGTGTCCTCCCAGGTCCTAGGGCTCCACGGGAATGCTGAGGGGACCAGAAGCAGCTGCGCATGCAGGGCTCTAGGGACGCTGTCCCTACCGCAAGCAGATCCAGGACACGGCCAGTAAGGCGGAGTGAGGACTCATGTGGGTTTACCAGCTCCACTGCTCTTTCCACGCCATCACTGAGTCTCTTAGCAGATTGCTTCCACAGGCCTTGCAGGTTAATGTCTTTTCAGGCCATCGCCCAAGGAGCCTACCTTTCCAGGAATCTGGTCCTGTTCTTCTGACCTAACCTCTGACCCTCAGTTTCCCATATGTACAGTGAGGACTTTAGTATCAAACTCAGAGTTGCAATGAGAATTAAGATAGTTGAAATGCCTGGTATACTGCAGTCACTCTATCCATGTCCCCTCCCGGACTGTATGAGACAATACTAACCAGCATGAATAAAGGCACAGTTTGGAGTCAGGTGTATCTGGGTTTGAATTTGGGCTCTGCCCTTGAACGGTGGGATGCTGGGCAAATGAGGCCCATAATCTCTGCACGTCTGAGTTTCCTCGCCTGTAAAAATAGGGATGCTCATCCTCACTAAGCAAGGCTGCTGTGGGGATCAGTTTGTTTCTCTAAGTCGAGTGCTTGACACAGTGTTTGGTATAAACTGAGAGCTCAGTCAATCATCTCGTGCATCATTCTAAGAATGCCAATCATAACCCTTCCAAGTGTATTCTGATGAACTCACCTAGGGACTCACCTGCCACTCTTTGTCTGATTCAAAGGGTCTTTCACTCTTTTTTGTCTGAAGGTTTTCATGTCACAATTTAAAAGTGTTTTTGTCTCTTTACGGATGTAGCTACAAGTCTCATCTAAAAACACCAGCTTGCGAGTGTTCTTCACATTTTTAAAATGTGTTTTTGGTTTTGTGGATGACTCTGTGCCATTTATAAAAGCTAGAGAAAACAAAAAGAGCAAGAAGATTAAAACTGGAGGTTCAACAACAAGACAAGCAAGGTGCCTGCCGGCTCGGGAGGGAGCCTGCCTGAAGGCAGGAGCCGTCTCGTGGCAGCGCTTCCTGGAGGCATGGCCTGGACTACTGCCCAGCGCACAAGCCCAGCCAGCCCTCAAAGCACAAAGCGCCACCTTTAAGGAACTTGCCCTCTCTCCTTTGCCAGCAAAGAATGACGCACCGCGCTTCTTGCCCCTCCTCCTGGTGACCCTCTTATTTTAGTCTCACCTCCGACCTCAAGCTTTTCCAACGCCCTAAGGTGGAGCCTACAGCTCAGCTGCCCCTACTGCTCCGTTCTCGTGGCATTCTGGCCAAACTTCTTTTACGTGTGACCAGCTTGTGGCAGCACCACGGTCTGTTCATGTCTAGCTCCCCACTGGCTGTGGTTCCTCGAGGCCCCAGTAGCTAGCAGAGCGCCCAACTTGTGTGTTCAATACCCGCTACGCCATAAAGGGTGAACGAATCGTGTTTTCTCAAATGCCATTACTGTGGCCATTAAGTGGTTCCTACTCACCAGGGAATGAACGAGACTCAACAATACACCTTAGGGGCGCTCATATCACAACATGATTCTCATTTTCTCTCAGTGAGGCGGGGAGTGGCATTCTACCTATGGTCAGTCATGAATGCGCCACAAGGCCCTGAACTGCGAGATGCTGGTAAGCCTCACACTGAGCTGAGAAAGAGCTGCCATTTACAGTCTCTCAGCACAACCTGAAACACAGTAACAGCTGTAGCAGCAGCTAATATTTATTGAGAGTTTGCTATGTGTCAGGCACTGTTAGCACTACACGATCTCACTGCAATCTCATGCCCACCCTAGGGAGAGAACAACATTAGCTTCTCCTTTTTCAGATGGGAAAACTGAACACAGAGAGGTTGAGTAACTTACTCAAATCCACACAGCTCAGAAGTGGAGAAACCTTTGGATGAGCCTAGACAGTCCAACTTCTAAATACTGACTAACAGAACTCAGAAGGCAAGCAAACCTGATGGATGCATGTCATCAAAGGAATCACTGTCACTTTCTGACTCGTCCTCATCGTCTGCCTCGTCCTCCTCATATGCATCACTGCTGAATGTTTCTGTAGCCTACCATGAAAAATGAAAGTCATGATTACATCTAATATTCAGTCATCCTGACTTAGTTATTTCAAAGAAGACAGATTTCAGGGCTTCCCTGGTGGCGCAGTGGTTAAGAATCCACCTGCCAATGCAGGGGACATGGGTTCAAGCCCTGGCCCGGGAAGATCCCACATGCCGCAGAGCAAGTAAGCCCGTGTGCCACAACTCCTGAGCCTGCGCTCTAGAGCCCGCGAGCCACAACTACTGAAACCCGTGCGCCTAGAGCCCGTGCTCCGCAACAAGAGGAGCCACCGCAATGAGAAGCCTGCGCACTGCAACGAAGAGTAGCCCCCGCTTGCTGCAACTAGAGCCCGCGTGCAGCAACAAAGACCCAACACAGTCAAAAATAAAAATAAATAAAATAAATTAATTAAAAAAGACAGATTTCACACCTGGATTGATGGCTAATTTTTGTCATTTCAGTTAAAAGGTAAAAAAAAAAAAAAACTAACCTCTTTGGCCCACAGAATCTACAGAGGACAGGACAGGTGGCCCGTGTCTTGCAGCTCAGGAAAGCCACTCAAGAATGAAAGACTTCCCTGAGTGGGAGCCAAGGGGCAACAGCTTTGGGCTGGCACGGGGGATCTGCCAAGGTGGGGCCCTGGCTAAAAAAGTTCCTGGCTGCTGCTTGAGGCAGGGCATCTCAGGCCAACGGGCTAAACGATCCTTGAGATGGCAACTCCCAGCACTTTTCAGGAATGACATTTCTATTCTAAATTTTCATGGTATGAGTGACCACAACTGGGCAACTGTAAATAGGCAAAATATCAGTTTTGTAGCTCAGAGGGTAAAGAACACAGAATCTGGGGGCAAAAGACCTTAGATGCACACAAACCATCAAAAGACAGGACACTGGGGCCAGGGAGGGAAGGGTGGCAGTAAACAAATACTTATGAGACATACCCTGAAAGCACTATCCATAAAGGAAAGAAGCTGCTAAATTTCAGTTCATTAAAATAAGCTTCTGTTTATCAAAAGACATTATGAGAGTGTGAGGCAAACTACTGCACAGGGGCTAATAACTGCAATACAGATGTCCCAAGGGCTCAGAAGTAGAGCAGGTAAAATCTCCTACAGATCAATACGGAAAAGGCAGGTGACCGACTGGAAACAGGGGCAAAGGACTTGAAAAGGCACTTCACCAAAGTGAATCTCCAAATGGCCAATAAGGCACCCGACTCCATTAGTCATCCAAAAATATGGATAAATTCAGCGATGTGAAAATCAAGAACTTCTATGCAGCAGCAAGAAGACAAGCCACAAACTGGGAGAAGATATCTGCAACACATACAAGAACGGAGAAGTTTCTCGAACATTTAAAGAACTACCAATGAGTAAGGAATAGACAAGTCAGCCAGAAAGTTTTGGGCAAAAGACCTAAACAAGCGTTCCACACAAGAAAAAACATGAAAGCTAACTAAAGGTATGAAAACATGCTCAACCTTTTTAATAATCAGGGAAATGCCAATGTGACATGTTATTTCATTACCACCAGAGATGGGCAAAAATGAAAAAGTCGGCAAGAATGTGAAGCAACAGGAATTCGTATGCACTGCTGGCAGGAGCACACAGACTACCTTTGAGGTATTTGAATCTGGCCTTCTTGTCCGCTTCATAATTTCCTCAATTCTCTATTTAAAGGAAAATAAAAATCAAACATGAAAACAGATTAAAAACAAAACACTGGTCCTGAAGAAGTTGATTATTTCCATGTTCCAGAAGCGGACAATATATATCAGTGACTGCTCCAACGCCACAGATATAACCGACGCAAGACCCTGGGCCGGCACCTGGGTGCCTTCCTTCAAGCCCAGTTTCATGATCATCTAGAAAACACCCTGAGCAGTGATGGGCGTACTTGTTATCCTAACACAGAAATCCAAATGACTTCTCACTCCTGATTTTGCCGACATGGAAGTTTATTACTTAGACTGAGCACATATTATTGCAAACCAATTAGAACTTGTGAACATGATTTTAGTCAGAACAGAGCACGAGTGAAGCTGAGTTAATGAAAAGAATGCACCCCAACAATGCAACCCCGTCAGAGGTTTTGTTACTAGAAGGAGCACATGCAGGAGGGATAAGAGTTCCCTTCTTTCCTGAAGGTGAGGAGAGCTACAGCTCTCTGGCCTCCTCAGGGTGACTGATCTCCTGACAGAGACGCCATGAAGTACCTTGCTTGTTCCAGAGCCTTCCTTGCTCCCAGACAAGCCACGTGGGTTGCACAAAGTGAGGTCCTACCTTACAAACAGCCTGCGCCTTGGCTTCTCAGGGAAGCCTCCACCTTCTGCTTCTTCCCACTCAGTTGCTGAAATTTCCAGCCCAGTTTAGAAACAACTCTAACTTCCACCAACCCCTACCATGACCTGAGTGACTCTATTCAAAGGAGCTTTGTTCCCAGAGATTTGCTGTACAGAGATATCCCTGTAATGGTCATCAGTGGTCCACGAGGGAGACGTATGATCAGTAAGAGGAGATCATTCTAGGGAGAAGGGGTCAGATCCTCGGATAAGAGAGCACAGAGGGAAAACAACCAAGGCTAGCATATCACTTACTTGTCATTTTCTAAAACATGTTTTGATATCACATGCCCAACATTGTTTTAAACAAAGAATCAAACCCCCCAAACCGAGAGAAGGAGTACCTTTTTTCTTTCTAATCTCTCCTGCAAATTCTGTAACATAATTCTCTCATGTTCCTTCTTGCGTTTGTCAGCCTCCTCCTGAGCTTTTATTTTCGCATCACTTTTCTAGAAAATTTGTACAAAAATATCATTTAATCTCAATATATCTGAATGACATCAGTGAAACAGTAAGATGTTATCCAGAATAAAAGAATGTAACCTTTTGATTGAGTACCCACATATACAGCAGTCATGGATCATCAGTTTTCAAACCATTAGCAAAAATACACAAGAACTAGCCTATTATCACAAGGATTTACAAGCCATGCTAATCCCCTTCAGGACCTCAGGGCTGTCAGACCACGACTGTTTCAAGTATGTATGTGATTGTGTAGTCTTCCACTGACACAGGCATCAGAAGCCAAGTCTTACACTTCTCAAAAGCAGCAAGAGGATTCCTAAAGGTATTTTCTCGAGGAATGCAAATGCATTACAATCATTTATGTAACATATTAATTGATTTTGATTAATGATACACTAAAACTGGAATATAAATTAGGCTACAACAATAATTTAAACTGAGTATAGTCTGAGCTCAGTTTGGGGGTTTATTTACCTGGTGATTTAAATTTACATGGGTGACATTCTCATCAGTGAATCTGATGAGGCATTCATAATTTGTATCTTATCTGTTGTGGCACAGGTGTTAAGGGTCACCACAGAATGCAGGGCTGGGAAGAGCGATCTGGATTTCCCGAAACCAAGCTGTAATATTATTTATGGAGACGAACTAAAGGACTGCTCGTCTGTAATCTGCTGCTTTCTGCTTCTGTTTCACTTGTAAAACATTCTGGGATTCGGCCAAGGGTGGCTGAGAACAACTCACACAGACACGGTAACAGCGAGACTGTAATGTGAATGCAAGCAGAGCATGCAGCATCTGCTTGTTTTCTGTCTTGGAGAAATAGACTTTTGCTTTGGGTTTCTACTGAATTTTAGAATCCGGTTCTCATCCCTTGATCAAGTGGGGAGCCGGCAAACCTGGAGTTCCACTCTTTGGTCTTGTTGTTCTTGACTTCCTTCCTTCTTTATCTCCTTTGGTGGTTGCCCATCTCCAAATTCTGAGAACTCCTCTTGTTGGCCTTCATCTGCTTTCTTTGCTATGTCTTTCATTTTCCTGATGACACAGAATATTTAAATAACTCTTACTATGTGCATTTTTATAGTAAAGCTGCTTGTGTATAGTAATACAATTTCTATTTACACCAGATTCACCACTTTTTCTGTGTTGTTACTACACAGGATTTGCATAATTTCATCTTTTTTAAATGGGGGAAGCTAGCCCTTGGGAGTAGAAAAAGATTTCTGTCAAGTAGTGGGCTACTTTGCGTCTTAAAACACAAATGCGCGTGCTATAAAATCACTCCTTCTTAACTGTTTTAGATGTATGCTCACACCCAGTCTCACATGGGGGTGTGAGAGACGAATTTAGAGGAGGGTCTGGTGGTGCTCAGAGGAGAAAAGCCCAGTCTACAGTGACTGGTCTTCAGGGCTTTTAAAATGTTAAACTAGCTCTGTTTTACATGAAGCAATGAATAATATTCTTCAAGTTATAGGGGTGTTTTTTCTATTCATAATGTCTCCTCCTCCTTTCTCCCAAACCCATATAAGGTACATGGAAAGCATGTGACTGTGATTCAAAAACACTTAATACTTAAAAACAAAGTCAGGACTGTAGTTATTCTTTGCAGGCAGTGGACAGAGGTTTACATCAGAAGGCCCCAAATCAAATGGGCCTTGAGATCGAAGATCAAGAAACCTTTAGATTGAGGTAGAATGCACACAACTGTACATGACAATGGCAGCCCACAAGTCACTGGAAACCCAGTAAAACACAAGAAGTATCCTTTCCAGGTTTACAGATTTTTTCTTTTTTGGTAACTTTTTATTTTCAAACTTACAAAAAAGTTTCAAGCAAAGCTGCTTTACCAGTTACTAACTCTATGTGTGTGTATGTATTATTTTTTATGAACCGTCTAAGGATTGAATTCTGAACTAAAACAAAACTGTATTAAGAATGTCACTGGGACAAATGGCAAATTGAACTGCTGACTCTGAATTAGAAAATAAAATAATATTTTCCTGATATTAGTTATTATACTCTGGTTATGTCAGAGAATGGTTTTGTTCTTAGGAAGTATACACGGAAGTATTTAGTAGGAAAGGGTCATGATGTATGCAACTTATTCTTAAACAGGTTTACAAATTCTAAAGTTATAAAGGACTTTTGAAATAGAGAAAGGGGCTGATGCCAGTGAATGGCAACAGAAAGAGTCTTGTGTGATCACTCAGGTGCTCCTACTGAGATCCAGGCCCCTGACATGAGTTCAGGTCTCTATGCATCTTTACAGCACACCTGACGGCACATGACACATAGAGACTAAAAAGGACCATACAGTCATCTACACACCAGCGTCCTGTCTGCTTGAAATGCTCCCCACATTTGTTTAAAAGGCGACGAGTCATTTCTGATTCACACTGGAGAAAATGTCAGTTACTATTTGAGAACTTATAATACATCTAACTTGAGGATAAAGTCTGACTTCCAGAATTCAGGCCCCAGCCAAGATTTACAATATAGAAAGGATGATTTTGTGCCAACCTTTGTTCCATCTCTTTTTGTAGTCTTTCTTCCTCTTTTTCCTTTTGTTCACGAGCAAGGCGTCGTTTCTCTGCCAAAATTTTTGTTGCCTCCTCGGCATTCATAGGCCCTGGTGTGCTTTTATTACCAGACTCTAATTTAAATTAACATGTAAAACAGTTAAGTTTAGGGAACTTACTGCCTCTAAGTCCAACAAAGAGGTGCAAGACAACCTGTGATGTTAAAAAAAACCAAACAGTATGTCCGTGGTCTAAAATGTATAAATAAACTATAAGTGATTTATGTAACAGCTTTTGTTCAAAAGCCCAGCTCCCGCCCCCTCACCCCCACCCCCCAACAACAGAAGTAGCATATTGTTGATTTTTAACAACTACCTGTTCCAAAATGAAATAATGTACTCCTGCTTTGGTTTAGCTGTTTTGAGATACCTGACTGAATTGCCTCTATGGGAAAAAACTTAAGATATACTGAATACAGAGGAAGACAAGCTTATGCTCGGTCCAAATGAAGTGTACAGATCTTTTATTTTTTAAGTTATTTTGTCATGCCATGCAGCTTGCAGGATCTTAGTTCCCTGACCAGGGATCGAACCTGGGCCCTGGCAGCAAAAGCGTCGAGTCCTTAACCACTGGACCGCCAAGGAATTCCCTGAAGTGTACAAATCTTAATTACTCAATTAAACAAAAATATATCCAGCGTACATTGTGCAGCATCTTTACTAAATAAGTACTGTTTAGCTAACTGTTGATAATAGTATGCTAACATATTTGGTTGATCATAAAGTGGCTAACTGTAGATAATCAAAGAAACCAAGACTATCACTAAAATAAAGTGACCACATGGAGGCATAACATTTTAGTTCATGTGACGAATTTGTTTTAAGTATGACGAATTTGTTTTAAATAAACTACATACAAAAATGAGGATTTCAGGGCTTCCCTGGTGGCGCAGTGGTTGAGAGTCCGCCTGCTGATGCGGGGGACACGGGTTTGTGCCCCAGTCCAGGAAGATCCCACATGCCGCAGAGCGGCTGGGCCCGTGAGCCATGGCCGCTGAGCCTGCGCGTCCGGAGCCTGTGCTCCGCAATGCAAGAGGCCACAACGGTGAGAGGCCTGCATACCGCAAAAAAAAAAAAAAAAAAAAAAAGATTTCAAAAAATCAAGAATAAATAATTTGTAATAAAAAGATCATTTCTGTTACAAAGAATTCACAGTGGAATTCCTTCAAAAAGCAAAATTCACGAGTGTATTTAAAATTAAGTAATGTCAATGGATATTAAGAATGCATGTAATACCAAAAAAGAAAATTACAGGCCAATATCTTTGATGAATATAGATGCAAAAATTCTCAAAAAAAGACGTTAGCAAACCAAATCCAACGACACAAAAAAGATCATACACCATGATCAAGTTGGATTCATCACAGGGTCACAAGGATGGTTCAACAAACGCAAAGCAATCCATGTGATACAACACATCAACAAAAGAAATGACAAAAACCACATGATCATCTCAGTAGATGCAGAAAAGGCTTCTGATAAAATTCAGCATCTCTTCATGATAAACTCTTACCAAAGTTGGTATAGAGGGAACATACCTCAACATAATAAAAGCTTTGACAAACCTACAGCCAATCTAATACTCAAAAGTGAAAAGTTAAAAGCCTTCCTGCTAAAATCTGGAAGAAGACAAGGATGCCCACTCTCACCACTTCTATTCAACAACAGTATCGGAAGTCCTAGCCATAGCAATCAAAGAAGAAGAAATAAAAGGTATCCAAATTGGAAGCAAAGAGGAAAATTGTCATTATATGTAGTTGACATGATATTATATATAGGAAACCCACACAAGACTCCACACAGAAACTACTAGAACTGATAAACAAATTCAAATTTTTGCATCTATATTCAACAAAGTAGCAGGATACAAGATTAACATACAGAAATCCGTTGCATTTCTTTACACTAACAATGAAGTATCAGAAAGGGGAAAAAATCCCTTTTAAAATTGCATCAAAAACAATAAAACACTTAGGAGTAAACCTGACTAAGGAGATAAGTTATATGCTGAGAACTATAAAACATTGATAAAGGAAACTGAAGATGATTTAAAGAAATGGAAAGATATCCCATGCTCTTGGATTGGAAGAATTAATATTGTTAAAATGGCCACACTACCCAAAGCAATCTACAGATTTAATGTGATCCCTATCAAATTACCCATGACATTTTTCACAGAACCAGAATAATCCTAAAATTTTTATGAAACCATACATAGAAGACTCAGAATATCCAAAGCAATCCCGAGGAAAAAGAACAAAGCTGGAGGCATAACCCTCCCAGACTTCAGACAATACTACAAAGCCATAGTAATCAAAACAGTGTGGTACAGGCACAAAAACAGACATATGGATCAATGGAACAGAATAGAGAGCCCAGAAATAAACCCACATATCTATGCTCAATTAATCTTTGACAAAGGAGGCAAGAATATACAACAGAGAAGACACGGTCTTTTCTGTAAGTGGTGTTGGGAAAGCTGGACAGCCACATGTAAGTCAATGAAGTCAGAACACTCCCTCACACCATACACAAAAATAAACTCAAAATAGCTTAAAGACTATTAAAATATAAAACAGGACACCATAAAACTCCTAGAAGAGAACATAGGCAAAACATTCTCTGTCATAAATCGTAGCAATGTTTTCTTAGGTCAGTCTCCCAAGGCAATAGGAATGAAAGCAAAAATAAACAAATGGGACCTAATCAAACTTATAAGCTTTTTCACAGCAAAGGAAACCATAAGCAAAACAAAAAGACAACCTATGGACTGGGAGAAAATATCTGCAAATAATGTGACCTACAAGGTCTTAATTTCCAAAATATATAAACAGCTTATACAACTCAGTAACAAAAAAACAAAAGCCCAATCAAAAAATGGACAGAACTAAATAGACATTTCTCTAAAGAAGCCATATAGATGACCAAAAGGCACACGAAAAGATGCTCAACACCACAAATTATCAGAGAAATGCAAATCAAAACTACAATGAGGTATCACCTCACACCAGTCAGAATGGCCATCATGAAAAAGTCTACAAACAATCAGTGTTGAAGAGGGTGTGGAGAAAAAGGAACCCTCCTACACTGCTGGTGGGAATGTAAATTGGTAGAGCCTCTATGGAGAACAGTATGGAGGTTCCTTAAAAACTAAAAATAGGGGGTTTCCCTGGTGGCGCAGTGGTTGAGAGTCCACCTGCCGATGCAGGGGACACAGGTTCGTGCCCTGGTCCGGGAAAATCCCACATGCCGCAGAGCGGCTAGGCCCATGAGCCATGGCCGCTGAGCCTGCGCGTCCAGAGCCTGTGTTCCGCAACGGGAGAGGCCACAACAGTGAGAGGCCCGCGTACCACAAAAAAAAAAAAAAAAAAACCAAACAACTAAAAATAGAGCTACCATATGATCCTGCAATCTCACTCCTGGGCATATATCTGGAGAAAACCATTAATTCGAAAAGATACATGCACCCCATTGTTCACAGCAGCATTATTTACATTAGCCAAGACATGGAAGCAAACCAAATGTCCATCGGCAAAGGAGTGGATAAAGAAGATGTGGTACATATATACAATGGAATATTACTCAGCCATAAAAAAGAATGAAATAATGCCATTTGCAGCAACATATTAGGACCAAGATGTTATCATACTAAGTGAAGTAAGCTAGACAGAGAAAGACAAATAACATATGATATCGCTTATATGTGGAATCTAAGAAAATGATACAAATGAAGTTATTTACAATACAGAAATAGACTCACAGACATAGGAAACAATCTTATGGTTACCAAAGGGGAGGGGTGGGGAGGGATAAATTAGGAGTTTGGGGGCTTCCCTGGTGGCGCAGTAGTTGAGAATCTGCCTGCCAATGCAGGGGACACGGGTTTGAGCCCTGGTCTGGGAAGATCCCACATGCCGCGGAGCAACTAGGCCCGTGAGCCACAATTACTGAGCCTGTGCGTCTGGAGCCTGTGCTCCGCAACAAGAGAGGCCGCGATAGTGAGAGGCCCGCGCACCGCGATGAAGAGTGGCCCCCGCTTGCCCCAACTAGAGAAAGCCCTTGCACAGAAACGAAGACCCAACACAGCCATAAAAAATAAATAAATAAAATTTAAAAAAAAATTAGGAGTTTGGGATTAAAATATACACACTACTATATATAAAACAGAAAACCAACAAGGACCTACTATATAGCACATGGAACTATACTCAATATCTTGTAATAACCTATAATGGAAGAGAATGTAAAAAAAGAATGTGTATATTTATATATATATATATGTGTATATTTATATATATATATATATGTATTAACTGAATCACTTTGCTGTACACCTGAAACTAACACAACATTGTAAGTCAACTGTATTTCAATTAAAATTTAAAAAAAACAAAACAGAAACAGACTCACAGACATAGAAAACAAACTTACGGTTACCAAAGGGGAAAGGAGCAGGGGGAGGGATAAATTAGGAGTTTGGGATTAGCAGATATGAACTACTATATATAAAATAAACAATAAGGTCCTACTGTATAGCACTGGAAACTACATTCAATATCTTGCAATAACCTATAATGAAAAAGAATATGAAAAAGAATACATATATAGCTGATTCACTTTGCTATATACCAGAAACTAACACAACATTGTAAATCAACTGTACTTCAATTAAAAAAAAGAATGGCAAAATACCAATATGATACTTTTTGGAACCCACATACTGACCTGACACATGTATGGTCTATGTATGGAAACTGCCCTACAGCTCCTGAAGGAAACCTGCTCAGCCACAAATGGCTGGCGTGCTCTCTCCAAGGACGGAAAATACCTTAGGGCCATCCACTATCGGAGCTGGAGGGAAATGCAGGCACCACCTAGACCATGGCACTCATCCAACCCATCCATACCTCCAATATCAGTTCCAAAAATGGGGGTAAGAAGTTCCAGCAAGCAAACAAAAAGCAGTGTGCCAGCGTGACTGGTGAAATTCTCTTTATTTAAAAAAAGTTCGCTTCCTAAAGTTCTCTGCACTGGGGAGTAAAATGACGTTGACAGTTCCCAAACTACCTTTTCTGTGTTGCTGAAATGAACTTCTTAGTGAACGAACTCACCTTCACAGATCATATCCTTTTGGCTTGCAGTCTCAGAGCTGTTAATGGTGTTAGAGATGGCTTCATTTCTCATTCCAATAGTACCTAATGCATTTTGTGCAAATACGGTACGCTGCATAGGAATTACTCCACAGGAAAAAGAAAACTGCGTCGACTGTTTTGACGTGGCGGGTGAAGGTGACGGGGGGCGATTCTTTTGGATTTGCCTGCTGGGAAAAAGTAATAGTTAATGGGGGAAGTCTGGTATGGTTTTGTAATACATATGTGATGATTTTTAGTGTACCATTTCATAAGCTGTAATGTCTTGACTTTATGATATAATGATATTTTATAACAAAGGTAAATCCATTTTTAAAGGCTCTTCCCTTTATATTTACATTACCATGCATACTAAATTATTTATGAAACACTGATGTGAAATTTATCCTGGTAAAATACGTATCAGGAACAGTGGCAAATAAGCTACTTACCTAGCACTGATGGGAGATGGAGGACACCACCTGCTTGTAGGAGAAGATGACCATCTATAACACGGTATCTGTGATGGTGATAGGCGCTTCTTCGTAATCGGGTTTGAGGCCTGTTTGTCCGTTCCTGATTTCTGAACAGATCAATACAATCAGATAAGAAATTACTAGCATTACCTTTTGCAGCTGGCTTTTCAAGAGAAAAATATTCTGAATAACATATAATTATAGCTCCTTAAACTCCCAATTTTCCTTTCATGCATGAGCATTAGGTACAGAGATACATTCTTCCAGACTAACAATTTATATTACACAATTCAAGCATGTCATAGAAATAATTTAAAAGAATTCTTTTACTTCAAAACCTACTTTTATTTTTAAATCCTAATTGAGGTTTGCAATAGTTCTCAAAAACGTTCCTTCAGAGTTTAGAAACACAGTTCATATAAACTGCTTTATTTTGTCTCTTCTACTAAAAATTAACCAATATTCCAGCTTTGGGGGGGTAAACTCTGCAACAACGAATATCATATAATTTTAAATTATTAACGTGAATTTATTTTATCACAGAACGCTATAAATAAGAAGTTGCTTATGTTGTGAAATCTGACCTATCATAATCTATACAACAAAACATACAGATTTTAATAGAAAATTTCTCAATGAAAGGCACTTGTCGAACCTGTGAAGAGTCTTTCATTTTCACCTTGGAAGACATTCCCATGGTCACCGCAGGGGAGGCCTCGGGGGGCGCCTCCATACTTGCCTCAGAGGGCACTTCTGTACTCTCCTCTGGGGATGCTTCCACGGTCGCCTCAGATGACGCTTCCGTGCTCACCTCTGGGGACGAGTCCACGCTCACCTCTGGGGATGAGTCCATGCTCACCTGTGGGGACGGATCCACACTCGCCTCAAGGAACAGATCCTCGCTTGCCTCAGGTGATGTTTCCACGCTAGTGGGGGGTGTTCCTGCGCTCGCCTCTGGAGGTGCTTCCAGGCTCACCTCGGTGGATACTTCCAAGCTTGCCTCGGGGGATACTTCCAAGCTTGCCTTGGGGGGTGCTTCCACGCTCACCTCCAGGGGCACTTCCACACTCGCCTTGGGGGCCGTTTCCACGCTTGTCTTGGAGGGTGTGTCTACTTTCTCCTGGGGAGGTATTACCACTGTTGACTTGTGAGGCACTATGGTACTCTTCAATTCATCACTGCTGTGCTTAAGCAGGGGCATGTTTACATATTGGAATATATTGTGGATGCCTGTAGGTAAATGAGGACAGAGAGTGAAATTCCACACAGCTAGAAATTTGATAAGACAGAAATGTACCATGTAACAATATAAAAACAAAGAGACTGCGTTTATTAGGAAATGACAGGGATTACACACAACACAGAAATGTTTACTGAAATGGATCACAGACACAGAACAGAAGCATCGCAAAGTTGGTACTTCAGAAGCAGCACCACCACCAAGAGAGGCATTGTGAAAACAGTCCACTCCAGACGAAAATAAGATGCTTCTCCAAAGCTGATGTTTGCCGTAAGCCATTTCTATTTTAATCACACTATAGTTCAGAAATGATTTTCATAGAAAATTACAAGACCTTCAATGCTTTTTAAAAGTAATCTAAACAACGTCACCAAGGCCAGGGATCTTACCATTACAGGTGATTACATAAGGCATTCTATACATGATCGTTTTAAAATAGAGTATAAAAAAGCATTTTCTCACCCATACTAAAAATTGTAATAAGACATTAATCAGAATGGGCTGGATCTCCAAGGTCTCTTCCAGCTTTAACAATCTAAATATTTTTAGCCTAACAAATGGACAAAAGTCCTAATATCCGGTACCAGCTAAGATAGAGGAAAGTGATAATACTAATGTTGGGAACCAGGCAACCTCATGCACTGCTGGTGGAAGTATGGATTGGTATATGCTCCCTGGGAAGCATGTTGGCAATAGTGTATCAAAAGCCATTCTAAAAAGTACACACTCGGGACGTCCCTGGTGGTCCAGTGGCTAAGAATCTGCCTTCCAATGCAGGAGACAAGGGTTCGAGCCCTGTTTGGGGAACTAAGATCCCACATGCCGCGGGGCACTTAAGCCTGCATGCTCTAGAGCCCACGCGCCGCAACTAGAGAGCCTGCGTGCCGCAACTACTGAGCCCACGCATGCACACCAGAGAGAAGCCTGTGCACCACAACAAAGATCCCGCATGCCGCAACTAAGACCCAACGCAGCCAAATCAATCAATCAATCAGTATTTTTTTAAAATAAAAAGTCCACACTCTTTGTTCTTGCAATTTCACTTTTAGGTTATTCTGAAGAAAAAATCAGATAAATAAATGAAAATGTATGTATGAGATTACTTACTACAGCATTGTTTAATAATATAATTTAATAATTGTATTTAAATATAATCCAAATATTCAACACAAAACTTGGACTATACTAAGGCAGTCATTAAGAGTAATAATATACAATTTTTGGACATAGAAAACAGTATATGTTGAGTTTAAACAAAAGCAGGTTACGATCCCATTCTATTAAAAAATATGTAAACGCAAAGAAAATATTCAGTTATCAGTGGGTATTGGAATAATAGAAAATTATATTTAAAAATTTTCTACACTGAATATTTATTGCTTTATAATAAAGTGATTTTTTTTTTTTGGCCATACCACGTGGCTTGTGGGATCTTAGTTCCCTGACCAGGAACAGAACCTGGGCCCTCGGCATTGAGAGCATGGAGTCCTAACCACTGGACCACCAGGGCATTCCCTAAAGTAAACATTTTAAGGAAGGTGTTTGGTGGTAGCTTTCTAAAGACTTGGTAAATATAAGACTCGGTTATTTTTTAGTCCCTCACTTTTGGTAGAGAAAGCATTTTACTTACATACTTGTATGTGCCTAAACAGTCACTTATTTAACACTGCTACAGAAAATAGAGTAAGTATAATAACTAGATTTCTAATAACTACAGAAATTTAAGGTAAAATATTGAGGTTTTTAATAGGAGTAATATATTAAAATAAAATGAAAGTAATTAGAATACCTTACAATAGACTCAGGGGAGACTGGTAGAAAATAATCTGACACACATACAACTAGGCATAAACAAAGTTGAGGATTACCAAGAGAAGTAAAGCTGCACTACCACAAAGTCTATGACAGCACTTTGGTTTACTAATCATACGGATATAGACATAAAAATAAGCAAAGGGGGTGGGATATATTCTGGAAAGGAAAAAGTGGAGAAAAAAAGACAAAAAGGATGGGAACAATGCACTAGAGCTCTCCATTACTAAGGACTTACTATCTAAAGGTATGTCTAACATGATATGTAACCTATAAATGAGAAAATCCACATAACCCTGAAGATCTGTTTTATTTTACTAACAATCTTTATGTTCTTAATTAAAAGCTAAAGAGCCGCTCAATGTTGTTCTTCCGCATTTTAAGAAAAAAAGAAGGGTGGAGTAGGACACTTTCTCCCTTGATATTATTTAAGTTTTTCTATATTTTTAAAATCCAGTACTTTTCACAGTACTGTGATACACTTAAACACAGGTTAAGAAACCCACTGTTTTACAATTTAACAACCAAAGGTCCCTATCTCATCCTATAAATTAAACTGATAACTATTCTACCCTGCTAGAAATCATAAATATGCAACATAAAATGTTGGGTAGAATCACTCATTTGCAAAGTATTGATTCAAATTATTTTTATGCCTTACTGTAGAAAACTAAGTGATACAACCTACTTTTAAGCACAAATACTAACACTTTCAGGCACTCTACTCTATGCCTGTTACCTGGAGTACTGCTTCCAGAAATTAATAATGAAACAGCACTTTTGTTCCTGGCTACTGACGCTTTTGTTGGGATGAACAGGAGACGGATTAAATTATTCTCCCAAAGACTAGTGTATAACTGACAAACTAAATGATGAGAAAAAAACAGAAAGGATTTGATTCGAGGTCTCACAAATAAATGCAAAGCAAGAAGGAGCAATGTGAACTGCTGCAAATGATAACTTTCCCAGCCTAAAAGCAGAGGCAATGAGAGCCACACATATATAACAGGACTGAAAACTGCCACCTGATGGGACTACACTGTTAGGGAAAAGAATACCTGAATAGAGGGGCAAAGGCCCCAGCATACCACAATAACCCCAAAGCAGGAATCCAGGTAATGTATCTAGCAGAACCATACCCAATGTATGGAGTCTCTACAGAGGAACTCACACGTGGAGAAAATAGTTGTACATGACAAAACAACTCTGACATGGATTCCTCCAGATGTGTCACTGACAGTCATATTGGTCAAGTCGATTGCCAATAGCTCCAAGAGACTGAGTGAATTATTCTGTTAAAAGTAAATCTTGTAAATAGCTTGCTCCAATAAATTTTTATGTTCAAAAAGATCCCTGTGGGGGCTTCCCTGGTGGCGCAGTGGTTAAGAATCCACCTGCCAATGCAGGGGACACGGGTTCGAGCCCTGGTCCGGGAAGATCCCACATGCCACAGAGCAACTAAGCCCATGAGCCACAACTACTGAAGCCCACGTGCCTACAGCCCGTGCTCCACAACAAGAGAAGCCACTGCAACAAGAAGCCCACACACCGCGACGAAGGGTAGCCCCTGCTCGCTGCAACTAGAGAAAGCCCGTGCACAGCAACAAAGACCCAACATAGGGCTTCCCTGGTGGCGCAGTGGTTGAGAGTCCGCCTGCCGATGCAGGGGACACGGGTTCATGCCCCAGTCCGGGGAGATCCCACATGCCACAGAGCGGCTGGGCCCGTGAGCCATGGCCGTTGAGCCTGCATGTCCGGAAAAAAAGACCCAACACAGCCAAAAATAAAAATAAATAAATTTATAAAAAAAAGAAAAAAGATCCCTGTGACAATGACATTTGTTATAAGAGGATGTGACCTGAATCAATTAAATGGAGAGTCTTCTGTAAGTGAACAGTTTGTTACGGAAAAGAAAGGAAAATCATGTTTAACAGGGAAAACTTAGGGGGGTGTTAGAAACAACTTTACATAAAGAAGTACTTCAGTAATAATTTGGAAATCTTGTGTGTAATCATCAGCAGTGAAAACACACCCAAAGGATAGATGTAGATTATGCTGTGAAGCAACAAAGCAAAGCTTTGAAGTTCAAAATGTTGCCGGTAATTTAGAACTTCAATGTGCGAACTGATGAAACATTTGAAGGGAATCAAGTGCTTCAGGACAACTCTGTCTATACCAACATTCTGTGACCTCCTCAGCTTCACTGCAGAATTATATATTTCATTTGAAGACTCTTCTGGCTTCAGCCAAATAAGCATGGCACCAAAGTACATTTTTTAGTTAAAGAAGGGATATTTTGGCTTCCAATGTTTTGGAATGGCTTTTCAAGCAGCTGAATGTTGACATAAATATAATGCTTTTAAACCACCATTTAAGACCGGTACATAGAAATAACTAACCAGGTGTTTTTTCTTCCACTTGTTCTGTAGATGAATGCAGTTTGCTACATCTTCTATTCAGAGATGAGCTTCTCCTCTTTTCTGTTGTTTCTGGAGATCAAGGGCAAAGAATTTTACCTTTTACAAGCTGTTTATATATATTATTTCAGGGGTGAGCCACCCGTTCCCAAACATTTTTTATCTTATTTAAATTTCAAGTATTATGCAGAAATTTTACATGCCCAAACTTAAAACTAGTTTACTCTTTAAGTAAGTTATACGAAGTGAAATAAAATTATTTAGGAAACAGTAAAAATTAAGCGGGAAAATCTGATACTGACAACATCAAAGTTCCCAAATTAGGAATATACAACACTTAATTTTGGACACAGTCCATAACATCTATTACTAAAGTAATTTATAGTTCAGTTTTAACTTGGTTTTTTTGGTTTTTTTTTTTTTTGGCTGTGCCACGCGGCTTGTGGGATCTTAGTTCCCTGACCAGGGATTGAACCCAGGCCATGGCAAGGAAAGCACCAAGTCCTAACCACTGGACTGCCAGGAAAGTCCCTTAACTAGCATTTTTTAAATAAAAATGATCATTAACATTTGGTATAGATGTCACAATTTTATCAACCCAAACCAGTCATATGGGAAAAGACACTTTTGTGTCTTTTCCATTTCACTTGAAATATTATGGTTCAGGATACTGATGAAAGTCTTTAAAGAAGAACTTCTCTTTTGGGAACCTCTAAATTAAAGTACGTATGACAACATAGCGTCTTGTGAAAATTCTTGAATTGATAATGTAATTGCACAGCATGAACCACAGAAGTGTAATCAATTCGACCATGTGATGAAATCACCTATCCCTCATTATCACACTGCAAGAAATGACAAAATAGTGTGAACAGTTATTATAAGTCAGCAGTGAGCAGAAGAAAAACAGACTATTTGAATCAGTCAAGATTTAAAGCAACGCTATTTAAAATATCACAGGTTAGATTATAAACTTCATTTGAGTTTGAAATGTTCATCTCTCTGGATTGAACAGGTTTTATTTCAATTTGAAGGGATTTTACAAAGGTAAGACACTGACAATATTGATTTTATTTTCAATAAAATTATTGGAATCATTAATTTAATGGCATTCATCATTTCAGAGTGTGCAATATACTGTAACTTTAAGCAAACTCTTTCATAAAGTATCTTCCACACATACCTTCTTATATTAAAAAGTTACTTGGAATTGTTCCTTCAGCGCAATTCAACTAATTATTAACTTGAAAGTCATCACCTGTCCCTCCTCTTTACATGTCTCATTGATACAGCAGGCACACATATTAATGAAAACACACTAGTGTTTGCTCATTATATTAAAAATGTAATAAATGTCTGTGCAAGAAATCTCTGCTAATTCCTCCAAGCAATTAGATAGTAAAACATGGCCAATGCTTATGAAACAATTAAAATAAATTAAAATGAAAGTATATAAACATAACATTACAATGAATGTTACCTAGTTTTTCTAAAGGATTGAGTTTGTGAATAATAAATTAATTACATGACAAGCAAGGTGTTAAAGAAAATCCTCCCACATTAATCTATGAATGAACCTGGACTATACATAAAAGTGCTCTGGGAAAGCATATTGAGGGTAAGGGTGGAAAGTGGATCAACTTTTACTGGACCATTACAAGAGAAAATTAGATGCACCAAGACTGACAAACAATGAAAGACCTCTCAAGTTCATCGTTGGAAACTGTAAGAGTTCTAAAAGTACAAATAACGTAAGGATGAACAAAACAAAAATCCTTTTCAACATATTAAAACTATAATATTTAGACAAAAATGGAAATCTTTCCTATTAAGTTAGACAATTAACTAATTATACTTTAAATGAGGTCCAGAATCTTTTGCTGTAGTGGAATTTTAGAGCAATCAGCATTGCTCAAAAAACTGCCAAGGCACCTAATAATACAAAAGAAACATTTTTTTTTTTTTTTTTTTTTAGCATCTTTATTGGAGTATAATTGCTTTACAATGGTATGTTAGTTTCAGCTTCACAACAAAATGAATCAGTTATATATATACATATATTCCCATATCTCTTCCCGCTTGCGTCTCCCTCCCTCCCACCCTCCCTATCCCACCTCTCCAGGCGGTCACAAAGCACCGAGCTGATCTCCCTGTGTTTAATTCAAACTATAATTATGCCTTTGTCTCAATTCACAAGGTACAAAGGTGGTATTTCTTCTTTTCTTACGGCTAAGTTTGAGGGAATGATGTGGAGTATGTCTGCCATGTCTTTTTCCTGCCCAGATCACTTCTGTTTTTTTCTCCATATGGGTATGGCTGTCTAATCCATTTCAATTATCAATGAGAAGCACCATGTACTACAAGCCAGAAATGGTCACTGACACACACTCTGGTAAAGATTTTTTTTAAAGATAAGGAACTCTAGGGAATTCCCTGGCTGTCCAGTGGTTAGGACTCCGTGCTTTCACTGCGTAGGGTACGGGTTCAATCCCTGGTCGAGGAACTAAGTAAAATCCCACAAGCCGGGCAGCCAAAAGAAAAAAAAAGAAAAAAAGGAACGCTAATTAAAAGTGCAAACACTAGGAGCAAAAGGTATTTGAAGTATCCATAGTAGATAACTTTGTTTTATTTTAAAGAACACTGCATTACCTGCAGGAAGAGTTGTAAAGTGGAGCTTAGCAATACTTCTCTCATTAAACACTGTTACCACTTTATTTGCTTTGGGGGAAAACATGGACTTGCTAGTGGAATGTACAATTTAAATACCATGATCCATCCATCAAATGACTAAAATATAAACCATAAATCAGTATGGAGGAGTGGAAATCACCGAATTTCTTGGGGTCTTAACTATACAACTAGGAAGGTAATTATACTTGCCTGTCAACTTTATATATATGTGAAGCAGATCAACCTGTCCACTGCTATATATATGCTATTATTTTCCTTAAATGAGGTAATATTCATGAAACTTAATGAAAACTGAATGACCAGTCTAGTCCCTAGAAAAAGTGATTTCATTTATAGGTTAAATAGAATATGAATTAATTCTAAAATAAATTATTGTACCACCTAATGGCAATGTCTTTTGGTCAAAATATGTTTCATATTTGTTGGGCTACCTAAGCCCAACAGACCCATCTGATATGATTAGTACACAAATCAAGAAACAAGTATTTATACTGATGAAAATACAGAATAGTAATGACCATCTCTACTGTAAAACAAGGTGGTGTTCTTCTGAAATGTCCTACAATCTAAATAAGTGGTACTGTGGAAATACATATAAAGAATTGATTTCATTGGTTTGAAACTCAGTAGAATACACGAAATAACTACTTACTCTTGGCAATAGAATTTTGAGGACTTGCAGATGACACTTGTTTATGTAATCCAGAAGTCCCCTGTTCAAGCTTTTCAGTAGATACAGAATGTCTGTTGGCTGAGAAAAGATATAAGATTTACTGTACTCATATTTAAAAAAGCATCACTAGCTGAAACAAAATGAGTTCATGATGTACTTCTATGGAGCATAAACTATATAAATTTTACTTACATTTTATGCAACTGTATAGAATTATGTCCACACATAGGAAAAATTTACAGTACATCAATATTAAACAAGACTATTTTTAAAATATGCACTGGATAAAGCTGTGTAAAACTTATCAATTATTATTCATTTTTACACTGATTACAAGTTTAAATGGTAAGATTTTGGATATAGTGGATAAAATACAATTACTATAAAATTTCACCTGGTTCTTTGGCGATCTCACATGACACAAATTTAAACACATGCCAAAGAGTAAGTACATGGCAGTGTTTTCACCTAGGATACAAACCTCAAAACCTTTTGTAGTAAATGCAACCTTATACTAGTAGCCAATATTTACATGTGAAAATGAATGAACTTAAAGTTTAGCAGCTGTATTAATTACCAGTTTTATTCTGATAGTTCACTGTTGTAGAGCCTTCCCATGACCATCTTTTTTGATAATCAATACGGCTGCTCCGTTCCAGTGTACGATGAAGGGCAGCTTTGAATCTCTCCTATTTTAAAAAAACGCCAACAAATTTTTACATATGCATTATATTGATTAGTATAATTTTGATCTCTCGGTTATAAAATACCCCCACTACCAAATTTTCCAATCAGGCAAATTTTTTTAAATAAAAGATAGAACTGGAAACATCTCAGGTAAAAAGTTAAAGTTCAATACATCTCGGGTATCAATCCACGTTCTCCCGAATAACTAGGTTTTAATCTTATGGACACGAATCAAGGAGCTGACTGTGCTTCCCTCTTTGCTTATTATATCATTAGGAAATTTAGAACCAAACGTGTAGCCTATTCTAGCAACTATACAAAGACTGAGTGGTACACTTTGGTGTATGCTAATTATACCTTATGTTTTATTATTTTCTTACTTTAATTTCCCCCTCTGCTTGATTCCCTCAACCACTTATTTTCTCATCTGGTTGTGGTATGTCTTTTTTAAAATATACCTTAAATTCTTTGTAGAATGAGGCAGGAAAAACAAATCAACTAATACACATATGTGAAATCTGTGCCAGATCATCTGTTATACCCACATTTGTAACATCTTAAATTCTGGCGTTAACTAATCAAATTTTTAAAGAGATGTGTTTGTCTTGACCTCAGCTTCAATTTGAACTGGGCAGGATAACAGCTCTACAAATGTAAATGCTACACTGTGGCGAAACAAGGCCATTGCTGGAAATGAGAGGCAGTTTTCTTTTTTCAGCTATTCCTCACCCTGTGCTGTAACATACCATGGACTACACTCAGGTAAGCAAATCAACTCAGGGCCAGAAAGTTTTCTATTCTTCCCTGACAACAATCGTTTCATAGCAACATCATCCTTACGATGTTCCCACCGTTTCTCTGAGGGTAAATAGGGTAAACATACTAGGAAAACAGAGAGTCACCCATATCCTCTGAGAAAAGCAACTGCAATTCTTAAAATAAAACTTATCTAATGGCAATATTTTAAAATTATATTTTCTAACAGAAAGTAAGTTTTTTTTCTAAATTAGTTAGACACCCAAAAAGTATAATAAAGACTAAAAACAGAGAATCTTCTTGTATTTCTCAAACATCTCTGATTCCTAAGCATTCTAACCTGCTGTTTGCAGATGCGCTGACCCTCTGTGCTCTTTCAGGTTCCTTCCAGGAAGGCACCTGTGGCTCCCGTGCAAGCTCCCGGCCTGCCTCCCGTGCAGCCCCGCCCACACTCGCCCCTCCTCAGCACTCCTCTTTTCCTCCGTGCAGCCTCCTCACAGTGTCGACCTGTCCCTGCTCTGTCTGGGACTCCCCCATGCTGGCTCTCAGGGGTCGGTTCTCTTTTGCCCTTTCTCCTTGTCTTCTGGCCTCTTCCCCTGCCCTGTCTCTGGCTCCCGCTCTGTCTACAGTATCATTTTGTTGCTTCTTCTTTCTTGGTGTTCTCTCTCTCAGGTTCCTCTTTCTCTAAGATTGTCTTTTTTTCTCCCAGTCCCCAGGACTCTCTCTCCTCCAGGGACCCTCCCCGACTCTGTGCACAGTTTTCTATTTTACTTTCTTTGGTTCTCTCTTTACCTAGTTCAGTCTCTCTGGCCTTCACTCTCTTTACCACAGAGAAGTAAATTAAGGAGATGTTTCACAGAGGAAGACAGAGAGTGACACAAGTTCTGAATGAGAATTCATTAAATACTGGAATGTGCTAGAAGGAAAAAAAAGACAGAGAAGGTGCTAGTGGACCATGGACAGGGAAGAAACAGCACAGGAATAGTCCTAGAATAAGGAAGATTCGCCAACGGGGGTAAGGGCTGGGGGGTGAGGCATTTGCAAGAGCCAACTGTGTGCAAAAATTAGGAGGAAAAGCGAGCACCACAGAGAAGGGGGCTCTTAGGGAGAAATGAAACCAAAGAGAAAAGGAGAGGGAAAAACATTTTAAAATTGGACCAACAGAAAAAAAAGAGAGGGAGATAAAAACCCATATACTGAGAGAGGCAGAAACTCTATAAAGATGGGGAGAGAAAAGAGGGAGAAGTTAAGACAAAGAAAGCAGAAAGAAAAGGGAGGTGCCTCGGGCAGAAAAAGGTCAGTCAGTCAGACAGAGAGCCAAAGACAGACCAAGGCTCACTCAGGGACACTTGAGAGTCACTGGAACAAAGAAAAGAGGGAATGACAGCGAGGAACAGGACAGAACATGTGAATTCAGAAGGAGCCAAGGACACTCAGGAGAGCTGTGGAACAACCTACAGGGGAACAACTTGGAGCCACAGAGAATCATACAGATTGAGACAGGCAGCCAGATGCCCACACAACAGTCAAAGACAAACTGAATGAAGAGCGCCAGAGGGGGAACGAGAGGGCACGACAGAGGCGGTGACTCATAGCAACAGAGTGCCAAAGACACCAAAGCAGAGTCCCCACAGGAAAAGAGAGCAGGGCTACAGAACAACAGAGGGAAAAAAGGAACAAGAAGGAGGGGGGAGAGAGCACAAAGGAGAGAGAGCCAGGGAACCGTGGGAGAGTGCGAGGCTCTCGCTTGGCTGGGCCTCTGCCACTCACGCCACTCACTCGATGAGCCGAGTGCTGAGGTGAGAAGCAGAGCAGGTCAGGGTCACAAGGGGGCCTCTCAGGGGCCCTGGGACGGTGGATAGGTGAATACTAGGCAATGGGACAACACTTTTGTAGGATAGAAAGCCGCTCAGAGCAAAGCCCAGGCCGCAGGCACCCGCAAGTGGACAGGGTTCTCTCCCTGGACGTGCAAGGCTCGGATCAGGATGGGGCAAGAGGTGCTAATGTTGAAGGAAAGATGAAAGAATTGGGATTGGTTCCAGTAAAAGCAGAGAAGGGCTAAGAAAAAAGTACTGCAGAACCAGGCAACACAGTGCATCATCTGATTAACAGCCTAGAAAAACATGTACCCTTTCTTCCTGTAACTTTTCGTTTCTCTTTTTTTCTGCAGATATTCTCCGTTGTTCATCCTTTTCTTTCTGTTCCCTCAGCTTTCGCTGCTTTTCTTCCATCTGTTTTTCGTATAGGATCTTAGACTTTCTTTCTTTTTCAAGTAGTTGTGTCTCTTTATTAGCTGAAATATTCCAAATGCAAGGTAAGAGCCAAGAAAATATTTTAAGTTTTCCACATTACAGACAGAGAAGGAAAAAGTTTATATTTTATTCTCTTTCTTAAAAATAACATAACCTGTGCTAATGACTAAAGACTTATTATATAAGTGAACAGAGATGGCCACAAAAGAATCATTTCCACTGGGTGTTCGTTTAACTCCTGAGAACTGAATTGGCTTAGATGACTCTCCTGTCCGAACTAAAATTCCAAATTCAGAAGAAATGTTTTCTTTCATGTGATGTTTCTGTTGACTTGAGCTGAAGTCAAACCCCATCAGATTAATATGCTATACATTAAAACAAGATGTAAAAAAACACATGGCCAGAATATATGTTTTTTTTCCCTTCTACTAGGAAACTTCTTTTCAAAGGCCGCATCTAGACAGACTAGTTTGACCTTCGTGGGCTTTAGGCACATACCACATTACTGACCAGCATGATGCTTTCCTGCGTTCAAATTTCCCCTCACTAAAGCCTGGAGAGCCATCTATGAAGTTGTAAAATACTCTTCTAAAGAGCTACAGGAAGAAACAGCTCCTCACCAAAACAAAGACAATTGCTATTTTATTTGAATGAGCTTGAGCACTAGTTTTGCAGTGGATTTACAGGGCCAGATGAGAAAAATACATAGATGAAAAAGTATTCTCTCAAGGTGTAGAAAGATTATTCTTTTAGATCCTAATTGATACAAAGTTACACTTGAAAAGCATAGCAATCAGTGAAAGATACCATATCCATGTTAGGATTATTAGCAACTCCATTTTTTGTTTTTTTGGTTTTTGTTTTTGTTTTGGAACCCACCCCCAGCAGTGAAAGCAGACTGCTAACCACTGGACCGCCAGGGAATTTCCTCATTTTTGTTTCTAAGTCATTTTTCTGAAATCCCATTTTGCTTGTTTCTACAAATGTTGAAGAAATTTTCATACCTTAATTTTCAGAAAATTAAAGCTAACAGAAACTACTAGTTCAAAAATAAAACAATTTGGTCAAATATTTTTCATGGACCTTCTTTATCTCATTTAGTATAAGCTCTTAATCCAGTATAACACATACTGTAAAACGTGTAATCTATCATATGAACAGATTAAAAAGTAAGTAAAACCACTTTGGAAATATATAACTTTAACGTAAAATTCACTCATTTTAATTTTTTTAAAAAAAGTCTAAAATATACCATCATCTTGTCTTTTTTTCTCCTCTCTGCGCTCCTTTGCTAATCTTTGCTTTACATCATTTTTAAGCACAGATCCATCTATTACTAAAAAAAAAGAAAGAATACAGTTAGACATAGGATATCAAACTTTAAGGATATAACACTTTGACATCTATCAAAGCATTCTAGAAATTATACCTGGTTTAAATGCTGATTTTATATTTGAGGGCTGTGATGGAAGAGCGCTAAAGCTACCCTGACTCCGTCTTTCTTCAGCAATGGCATTAGCAGCAGCAACTAAAATACAGGGAGATAAAGGAAAGGGATTCGATATTAAGAATACAAACAGTGGGACTTCCCTGGTGGCACAGTGGTTAGGAGTCCACCTGCCAATGTAGGGGACGCGGGTTCGAGCCCTGGTCCGGGAGGATCCCACATACCCCAGAGCAAGTGGGCCCGTGCGCCACAGCTACTGAGCCTGCGCTCTAGAGACCAGGAACCACAACTACTGAGCCCACGTGCCACAGCTACTGAAGCCTGCACACCTGGAGCCCGTGCTCTGAGACAGGGGAGGCCACTGCGGTGAGAAGCCCACGCACCACAACGACCCAGCTCGCCACAGCTGGAGAAGGCCCGCATGCAGCAACGAAGACCCAACACAACCATAAATAAATTAATTAATTTTTTAAAAAAGAAAGAATACAAACAGCTAATCCAGGGGTGGCAAAGCACAGCCAATTGTATCTTCGATGATAAAGGACAGAATCTCTTCTACAAGGCAAAATCATGACAGACTCTGGGTCAGCAAAGACATAATGAGTACCTATGATGTTCAACAATAATTCAACAAAGAATTAACAGTGTTTACCGTAGACATGCCAGCCTATCTGTGCGCACAGAGTTGTCAGTAGAAGTAGCAGCACGAGCTGGTAGGTGAGTAAGAGCTGATTAATAGCTTTCAAAAATGCCTCAGACAGACATTACAGCAAGTACTAGAAAAACTGAGCTGGCAAGGATTTGGAAAAATGTTTCACCATAAATTGGGGGAATTTAGAAAACATTTGGAGTTTATGGATCTGAATTTGGATGCAAAAGTGTCAACAGTGAGAGCCTCAGAGATTGGGCCCAATATAAGGAGTACATGTATAAATTACCTAGGTCAGGGGCTTCCAACCCTGGCTCCACACGAGAGTCACCCAAATTGCTTTTAAAAAAAATTAGCAAAGCCTTCCCCTCCCCGCCTCCACTCTCTGAGAATGGGGCCCAGGCCTTTGCAGTTGCTAAAAGCTCTATTCTGATGCACAGTGAAGGTGGAGAAAACATTCAAGGAATTGACAATGTGATGGTATTTTTCTAGGTAGGAAAATGTCAAGCAAATAAATATAAATTATATAATATAAATTTACACATCTTGTGTGAACAGGTAGAAAATGGCAAATAAACTTCAATAAGGGTGAAATATAAGAGTATGGGAGCACAATTTGAGGGAAAGTAAGAAAAACTAAAATTCTAAGATGATACAAAAACAAGTTCTTGGGGAATTCCCTGAACTCTAATTCCATATATGGCTGTATCTAAAATGCCCCATAGTGACAAAGCGAGAGAGAGGCATGGACATATATACACTACCAAACATAAGGTAGATAGCTAGTGGGAAGCAGCCGCATAGCACAGGGAGATCAGCTCGGTGCTTTGTGACCGCCTGGAGGGGTGGGATAGGGAGGGTGGGAGGGAGGGAGACGCAAGAGGGAAGAGATATGGGAACATATGTATATGTATAACTGATTCCCTTTGTTATAAAGCAGAAACTAACACACCATTGTAAAGCAATTATACCCCAATAAAGATGTTAAAAAATAAAATAAAGAGGTAGAACAAGTTTTCAAATAAAATAAAATAAAATGCCCCATAGTACCAGGCATCTTCAGGAAGGAGCTGGAGAATAACACTGAAAACTCTTCTACTCTCATATAAAAGCACAGGAGGACTTCCCTGGTGGCGCAGTGGTTGAGAGTCCGCCTGCCGATGCAGGGGACACAGGTTCGTGCCCCGGTCCGGGAAGATCCCACATGCCGCGGAGCAGCTAGGCCCGTGAGCCATGGCCGCTGAGCCTGCGCGTCCGGAGCCTGTGCTCCGCAACGGGAGAGGCCACAACAGTGAGAGGCCCGCGTACCGCAAAAAAAAAAAAAAAAAAAATCCTAACGAAAGTCCATATTTTGGCATAATTTAGTTGGCCATAAGGACAATTTTTCTCAAAATGTACAATTTTACCAGATTTAAGATCTTATTAATCAGAAGTAACCTAAGAAATAGCTGTGATGGCAATAACAAACCAAATCGTATAAAGGTTATAATATCAAATATGATTTTTATTTATTTTTTTAAAATTTTGGTTGTGCTGCACCACTTGAGGGATCTCAGTTCCCCGACCAGGGATTGAACCCGGGCCACGGCAGTGAAAGCACTGAGTCCTAACCACTAGACCGCCAGGGAAGTCCCCTCAAAACTTATTTTTAGATCTTTACGTCCAAATTCCTACTGGCAAGAAATACATTCACCAAAAGAACAGGCTCTAAAAATGTCCAAACAATGGGAGAAAGCCTTTATGTCTGGACTTAACAAAATGAACATTTTATTCAACTCCATTCAATGAGAGAATTTACTTAATTCACTTTAAAGTAACAGGTGCAATAGAGTACTTCTATAGTTCTTATACTAACTCTAAGTCCAAAATTAAAGTTAAAAGTTACCTTTTGCCTGGAGATTACATAAGAAAACATGTAGAGTTTATTACTAAAACTGAATTATGAATCTTAATCTGTATTTCCAAAAATCTGCCATAACAAATAATGTATACCACCATTTATGAAGTTGTTTTCATTGGTTATTACCTCATTTAATTCTCATAACAATCCTATAAAGTGGATATTATTATTTTCCCCTCCTTATTTTACAGATGAGAAAACTGAGGCTAAACATAACTTTCCCAGATCACACAGGTAGCAACTGGTAAAACCAGAACTTAATTGTAGATTAAGAAGCAACTTAACTTTGAAACATTATGTAATTATCAAGGACCAGACTGTACAAAACCCACATCAACCTTTATATGACTTAGTTTAATATTCCCACCTCAGCTACTTCTAAGGTACTTCTTTTTAAAATATCACAATGAAGGAATTAAGATCTAATTGTATAAAATTTATTCAACAATAAGTAAATGAAATATATGGGCTTTGGTTTAAAATATACTTTGGAAATACAGCAATGGAAATATTTTAAAATAAAGCATTTACTTTTTTTTTCCTCTAAAGTAAGCACTGTTATGCTGTGGCTAAGAAAAGCTTATAGAGAAAGTGTGTAAAAGATGTTACAAAAAGAAAATCATTCTCCTTTTTTGGCCGCACCTCGCGGCTTGTGTGATCTTAGTTCCCTGACCAGGGATTGAACCCGGGCCCTCGGCAGTGAGAGTGCAGAGTCCTAACCCCTGGACCACCAGGGAATTCCCCCATTCTCCTTCTATGATGGGAAAACAACAAACTCAATCATCCTAGCCATCTAGCCCAATAAAAACCTCAGAATGAAATGAACCAAAAATAGATGCCACTAGGATGCCAAAATTAAAGAATGCTTTACACTTGATAGATTTCTAAAAGATGTCATTGAAATTTTGAGGCCCTTCTGGACATAAAGCATTTTAGCTCACTACTGACTTCAACATAGTGGAATATTTCTGCTTCTCTCCAGAAACCCCACTCCCCCTTCCTCAACACACACACACACACACACACACACACAATCTGTGTCACAAGAGCTCTGCTCCACTAGGTCAAGCTAAATGCAAGAAAGGAAGGAAGAACACTTTTCCATGACAATTAGTTCAAGAATCTTCCTAAAGCTGCACCCAAGCACAATCACCCCAAAATGCTTAATCCCATGAGATGCCAATGATAAATACTCATCCCAGTACTTATTAGCAATTCTGTATTGTCTGCCTCAGCTGCTGCTCTTGACATCACTCAGTCAGAGTTCGACCTAAAATCTGTAGCCCCGGGCTTCCCTGGTGGCGCAGTGGTTGAGAGTCCGCCTGCCGATGCAGGGGACACGGGTTCGTGCCCCGGTCCGGGAGGATCCCACGTGACGTGGAGCGGCTGTGCCCGTGAGCCATGGCCGCTGAGCCTGCGCGTCCGGAGCCTGTTGCTCCGCAACGGGAGAGGCCACAACTGTGAGAGGCCCGCGTTCCGCAAAAAAAAAAAAAAAAAAAAAAAAAAAAAATCTGTAGCCCCACCTCTCCATGACCTTTCTTCTGTACTAATTAGAAACATTAGATTACACAAACTAGTACACTAGTATTTCTCATTAGGTAGCAAAGGGCATAGATTGCAAAAAAAATCATTGAAAGGTTTTTTTTTAATTATTATAAGAAGGGCTTGGGCTAACTGCTACAGATTAGTGCTACTCACCATTATTTGGATAACAGAATAAAAAGCAATTGCTACTAAGTCTTATCTTGCACTCCTGCTGGATGTAGCCTTCAAAGTGTAGGCTGTGGGGTGTCTAGCAGCAGACTCTCTTCCAGCAGCCCAGTCCCTGACCCTTCGCACAGTTGCCGGCCCAGTCCTGGATCCACCCTCATTCAAAGCTGAGCAGTTGGGAGTGCAGATCCATTCCACCCATACCAAGGGTCTCTCTTCATGGCCTTATTACAGTTTGCATGTCATTAGGCCAGGGAGAGGGTAAGAAAATATTTAGAAAAAAATAGAAAACCAAAGACATTTGCAATCAGGGAACCACAAAAATAAGGCAGATTCAGGAAGCTTTGCCTAAAACAGCAACAAAAGCTACTCACTGTTATCTGGATAACAGAAAAGAAGCAATTGCCACAAAGTGGCAGAATATTTCACTGACTCTGTCCCCTTCAGGAAAATGCTGAGACCATGAAGTAAGTTCTTTCTGGTCAAGGTGGTCCTCTGTAGAAGTTTAACATGTGATGTTTTCAATTCCTAATACAAAATGGGCAGCAAGGAGGTCAACTAGGTTCTCGGTTAAGCCTTTTTTGCTTAAGTTTTTAGTTTGAAATACTGTGAATTCAAGCAACTGTCCCATATAAAATTTAAAAATACTTTTCAACATCCAGTATGCAAATACTTTGGGGGGGGGGCTATCCAGAAGGCCGGTTAGTTTAAATCAGTGAAATAATTCAATGTCAGAGGACCTTAGGTGTCAATAAGCAATAAAACAATGAATTTATTGCAAACTCTCCCTGTAGGTGAACCATAATAAGCTAGAGACAGAAGAGTTTTTCACGCTATGCAATAATGAAAGTGTTTTTGCTTCTGACATTATTCTCTGGGGAGTTGATTCAAAGCGTTCTGAAGTAACATAAACCCTCCCAAATCGCAGCCGGTCTAATTTTTCAACTGCAAATGAAAAAAATCCCTAAGGATTTCAGTAAAATCAGCAAGGCTGTTTTATTCAAGTTCATATAGGAGGAAACTAGCCCGAGAACTAAAAGCAACCTCCCACAAGCAAGAAATACTATCTCGCTCAAGTAGCGAAGCAGTCTCCTGGGCTAAGCAATGCCAAATCCTGCCAAATTTTATAAAATTAACGATTTCGCGGGGGGGGGGGGACTTTTTGGCGATGGGACCAGTTTAGAAGAAAGCACTCTGAAGCGCTGAGTCCCGTTCAGTCCAGCCTAGGGTCTGCAAGATGTCCCACGGAAGGTGACATCCTGGAGAAGTCATGTGCTGAGGCAAACCAGGAGGCGCAGGGGGACCAAGTTTTATCCCAAATTTCAAAGCCAGACCCCCAAGGCCCCCTCCTCACCGGACCTTAACCAGACCTTGACCAGGAGGATGCGGGAGAGACCGGGGTTGCGACCGTGGGAGGGGATGAAAGCGCGAGCGCCCCGGGCAGAGGGAAGATTCCAGGGCTGCCCCGAGCCACGAGGGCCGTCTCGGCGCCCGCACCTCCCAGGCAGCGGCGCGTCCGTTCCGGCGGCTGCGAGAGCGTCCGCCTCTCCCCTACGGCAGGCGGGGCTCGGGACCGTCCGCGGGCTACGGGGTGCCAGGCCCCCGCCCTCCCGCCCCAGCAGCGCCCGTTAGTTCTCTCGCGCCCCGCCCGCCCGCGGGACTACGGCCGTTGGCGGTGGCAGCTGGGCCGCGGGACTTGGGCCGTTGGTGGCGCGGGCCGGCCGTCTCCCCTCCCGCCCGCGTACCCTCTCGGCGCCCCGTCCCGTCCCAGGGCGCTCCGGCGGGGGTGAGGGGAGCACCCGACGGCGCGCGAGGCGACTCCGAAGTGAAGGTTTCCGGCGCGGGTCGCGCCGCTCCGACAGTCCCCGGGGCCGCGGGAACCCCGCCTCCCGCGCGGGCCCGAGCCCCCCCGGGAGCCGCCGGCCCGCTCACCCATCCGTTCCCGCAGCCCCCTCAGGGATGTGCCACCACCGGCGCGCTCCGCCATCTTCAGAGCAGCCGAGCAGGGAGCCGCCGCAGGCACTGGGTCCCCAGTGCGCAGGCTCTGGCGCGGCCGCCGCGGGGGCTGGGGCCGTGGCGCCGGGGGGCGGGAAGGGGCGGGGCCCAAAGGGCCGCAGCGCGCGCCTCGGACAGGCGATTGCCGAAGCGCTGCTTTTTGCGCACCACGTGGTGAGCCGCTGGGCGGCGACCACCTGGTGTAAATAAACCCTCTCCTACGTCCCGCGCTCTCCCAGCACCCTCCATCCTGGATGCCAGCCAATCATCAGCCGGCGTGGCCCTCCAACATTCCTTTTTTCTTTTCGACTTTTACCTAGAAACGCAGTAATGTTCTTTCCTTTCTTCATTCGTTCACTTAGGGAGCACTTCCTGAGTGCCTCCTGGGTGCGCTTGCATCAAGAGTTTGCTAGTCTTTGAAACACGACAGAAAGGCCCAAGTTGGGTGAAGAGGCCTAGAGAGGGGTTGGGAGAGAGATAGGTTCCTGTGAGGTGCTAGGGGTCCTGATCATGAGTAAAGACTTTAAGTTGTTGAGAATAAATCGTGACACTATTAGGTCTCAAAGTTGTGTGAATTATCTTAGGGTGTTTGTGGATCTTTAAAGTGAAGGAGAGGACTTATTGGTGTTAATCTCGCCAGATAGATATATAATATTCGTAAATGATTAGTATCCAGAATGCATAAAGATTTTAAAATTACTTAAGAAATAGGCAACCCCCCCAAAGTGAGCAAAAGATGCCTTTCACAGGAAAGAAAACACAAATGGTCAATAAGCATAAGAAAAGATGCTCAAACTCTTAAGCACTCGAGAGAATACAAATGGAAACCACAGATATCATGTTACACCTACAGATTTGGCAAAAATTAAAGAGTGGAAAATAAGGGTTGGTTAGGATGTAGTTTAATATTAGTGGAGAAAAATAATACTGTAAATCAACGATACTTCAATTAAAAAGACACTAGTGAAAGAAAAAAACACTAGCGGGGGGAAGAAGTTTGGCATTATATCACCTGAAGCCCTGTTGCTACATATATACAGACACCAATGCTTTGCATGAGCTGATTATTATGACACATGATTGGGGCACTAGCAAAACACATATACCTACACACAAATTCAGCTTTGATGAATTTATCTGGAACTTCACAAACAGAAAATCTAGAAAAATGCAACATCAGCTTTGTAGTTTCTTGCAAAACTGCTGAAAGTGAACCCATCTAATAATAAGGAAACATTTGCCCAAATCCAAACTGTGGCATATTCTGCAAAACAACTGACCTGGATGCTTCAAAATGAAAGATTTTTAAAAACAAGCATGGGGGAAGTGTTTCAGATCAGAGGAGGCAACAGAGACCAGGTGTAATAATGCATTATCCTTGATTAGAACCTAGATTAAAAAAAATTTTTACAGGGCATTCATTATTGGAACAATTGGGAAAATTCAAATATGAACTGTATATTATATATTATTGTATCAAAGTCAAATTTCTTGGGTGTGAGAATGGTATCGTGGTCATGTAGGAAAATGTCCTTTTTCTTAAGAAGTAACTGCTGGATAAAGCATCATAATGTCTGAAACTTACTGTCAAGTAGTTCATAGGAACAAACAGAGCAAATATCACGCATATTAAAAACTTGTGAGTCTAGGTGGTTACACAGAAGCTCGTTTTACTCTTCTTTCAACTCTTAACATGGATTTGAAATTTTTCAAAATAAGTTGGAGAATTTATTTTAAATCTAGAAAGATTGTCTTCAGCTTACTTCTAAACATCACCACTTTGAAAAATAAAACTTGATTTGGCATTACATATACAGGGAGGCACCCTCCATAATCTTTGCAGCATTTAGAACTTCTAAAGGTCTTAATCCTGCCCAGGTGTGTGTTGTGGGGGGCAAGTAGCAATAAGAGGTCTCTACAAGAAAACAAATACAGGCGGCATAGGCTGGGAGCTGGGTGAGTAAGTAAAATGGGTCCCATCAACAAGAACCTACTGTATAGCACAGGGAACTCTACTCAGTACTCTGTAATAACCTACATGGGAAAAGAATCTAAAAAAGAGTGGGTATATGCATATGTATAACTGATTCACTTTGCTGTACACCTAAAAGTAACACAACATTGTAAACCAACTATACTCCAATAAAAATTTTTCAAGAAATAAAATAAAATGGGTCCCAAGAGCTCAGAGGGATGGGAAATCACTCGTGGTTGGGGTGATCAGAGAACCCTTTGTGGAAAAATTGGCACTTGTTTTGGACCTGAGGACCAAATGAGAGGTCCTCAGGTAGCTTAGTGAGGCAATGCGCCCATCTGTGGCTAGATTGCACTATTTCTCAAAATAAGATGGAAATCTAGGTTTTAATGTAAAATCTTTTTTTAAACAATGATGACAAAGTTAAAAGTTTTGCAAAACAGGGTGCAGGGCAAATAAAATGATCAGATAGCTAATCAATGTTCGACTTTCCCAATTATCTCATTTTTTATGTTCAAATGAAAATCCAAACAAGGTCCACACGTGGCATTAATTGATATGCCTTTTAGGTCTCTTTTAATCTATAGATAAACTCTTCTTTTCCTCTAACATCTTTGACAGATCACTGTGAAATTTACAACTCATTCATTCATTCAGTATTGGGGAGAAAGAGACAGGGAAGATCCCCTCAGATGTTTCCTTGGGGCTAGGGCAGCTCCCTAAGGAGCCCCCCACGAGACTGTCTGTACATTTCTCAGAAAATGAGTGGAACTGAAGACCGCCAGCTTGGGGAGAGTTAGTCTATTCTGAAGCCAACTCAGTCAGAGCTGGGAAAGAACCCAGGAGGCTTGACTCCTCTCTGCCCCTGTTTGGAAAGCCTATGTTCCCCAGTGAGCGAAAAAGAACTGGAATCCTGCTCACTATTTTTTTACTTGGCTATTTTTTCCCTTAAACCTGATACCAGCAGGAAAAATATTCAGAAACCCCACAGTCATAATAGGTCTGGGAAGTGTCACTAAAACATTGAATTCACATGTAATAAACACCCAGTGGACTTATCAAGTCTAACAAATTTGCATTTAAACTGCCACCATCACAGCTCTGTAGTAAGAGTTTTAAGCTTCACAGCCTTGAGGTGGCTGTTCCTCTCCATCCTTAACTACCTGTCGGATTCAGCCATCACACACACAGCGGAGTCAGGGCTCTGGTTTTTCATTCTCCTCTCATTTCTGACTCTTGCCTCGCATCTGTTGCAGCTTGGCTGTGATGCAGGGGGAAGCGTGATGTTTCATTCTGGACTCACCTCTTGCCAATTCTACTCACATTTTCCTTTCTTTTCCCAAATCTGCACTTTCCTTCTCTCCTCAGTTACAGACTCACCTCAGGCTTTGGTCATTTCTTGTTTGGTTGATGGCAGCTTTCCCAGCTCCGGAATTCCTGCTGCAGCACCTCGCCCCCGCTCCCCACAATGACCCTTCACCACCCCTCCCCCATTCCCCTTCCCCTTCCCTTTGCACTGAGGACCAGGGTGACCTTGCTCTCTTTCCAGGGATAGGGTGGGGGGCTGATTCTCATGGCCTGAGCTCACCAGGGTGGGGGGCTGGGAGCTTCCGAGGAGAGGAAGAAGAGGCACCACTGTCAGTTGGATCAGACAAACCTCAGAGGGGGAGAGCACGGTGGCAGCGATGGCAATCTGCTTGGAATAGTAGGTGCATCTTGGATACTCACAAGTAAACAGTAAGAAATATGTCATTTGTCCAGTGCCTACGCACTGGCAGGCACAGTGCTTAAGGTTTTACATGGATTGTTTCATATAATCCTCACCACTGCTTCATGTGATAGCTTCTGTTATCATCCTCATTTTGCAGATAAGGAAAGAGTTAACCTCCCCAGGGTTAGCACAGCTAGGAAGTGGCAGAGTCAGGATTCAAAGCCATGTATATCTAGTACTCCTTCCACTGTGTCTCCCAATTTACCAGGTGATGAGCGCTAGTCTACTCATCTCCTAACCCACGTCTTCACTTCTCCATTGATCCAGCCCCCACACTCAGGCTACTCACCTTGTGTCATGTGGGATCTTAGCTCCCGATGACCAGGGATCAAACCTGTGCCCCCTGCAGTGGAAGCTCGGAGTCTTCACCACTAGACCATCAGGGAAGTCCCGAGATGCACTTTTTATCAGTGGTAACGTCTTCGTACAACTACATCTCTTAACCCAAGTATCACTATAGCAGTCTCTTAAGTCTTTACTAGGATTGACTCACACTATTCCATAAGAAACCATTGAAAAATGGGTGTTTAACATGTCTGGCAGTAAAGATAAATAAGACTCCTCTTAAGCAGCCTTCCTTCTAGAAAGGCTCACAGGGTCCATAAATGCCAGGTACTCAGGACTGACTTCAAAATGCATGTGTAAAGGAAAATGTGCCACATCTAGTGCACTGTTTATCCTGCAATGAATATTTGTTGAATGAATGAAAGAGTATTGAAAACCTCCACAGTACTGAAGGAGGAATTTTCGATGGCCACCGGGGTGTTGAAAAGGTCTAGACTTAAAATTATCAAAGGGCAAGAAAATGTCCTCATTTTTTTTCTTAACTTCAAATAAAGTAGAGCAAACATGGGCTGTGCCTTCTCATTCTAAATACAGGGCCTATAATATAAAGGAAGCTTCAGGGGATGCCAGAAAGTATAAAATATCAAAGAATGCCCTTTAAAGACACTTCGGAATTTCTAATAGAGCTAAAAATTGGTAAAATCTAGATGGGAGAAAATGAGAAGAAAAGAGGAGTCGGGATGGTTTGTTAAAACACAGATTGCTCGGCCTCATTCCCAGAGTTTCTGATTCTCTAAGTGTTATTAGTTGTATAACTAACATATACCCCTAAGGAAATGTACCGAATGTCTACTGTGATGTCAAGTACAGCTGAGTGCTTAATATCATTACACTCTGATGATGCTAAACATTTAAAAATTCTAATACAGATCTAGTGTCGTGTACATCCTGATACTTGACATTTGTTTACTAGGGGAAGACAGATACTTTGCCCTAGGTTTCACTGCAAGTCAAGATCTGGCCAAGACCTTGTGGGTGAGCATCGCAATGGAGGCAGGGG